CGTAGAATGAATTTGGAAGTTCTCCCTCTTTTTCTATTTCCTGAAATAGCTTGAAAAGTATTGGTATTAGTTCCTCTTTAAAGGTTTTGTAAAACTCTGCTGTATACCCATCCGGTCCTGGGCTTTTCTTAGTTGGTAGTCTTTTGATGGTTTCTTCTATTTCCTCAATTGATATTGGTCTATTTAGGTTGTCTGTATCCTCCTGACTCAATCTGGGCAGATCATAATGACTTAAGAAATTTATCTATGCCTTCACTATCTTCTATTTTATTGGAGTATAAGGATTCAAAATAATTTCTGATTATCTTCTGTATTTCTGAAGTGTCTGTTGTGATATTGCCTTTTTCATCCCGTATGCTAGTAATTTGAGTTCTCTCTCTTCTTCTCTTTGTTAGCATAGCTAAGGGTCTGTCGATTTTATTTATTTTTTCAAAGAATATGGTGGCTTTCTTCACACCCACTTTTCTTTTTTGTAGTTGTAGATGGGCAGCATGCCTTTATTTTATTTATTTTTGTATGTGGTGCTAAGGATTGAACCCAGTGCCTCACACATGCTAGGCAAGTGCTCTGCCACTGAGCCACAGCCTCAGCCCCTACACCCGCTTTTCTAGGCAACTGAAACCAATAGTCTCTGGATTCCAGGGAAGAGTGGTACCCACTGAATGCGGATGCCTCTCAAAGGAGAAAAACTTTCCTCACAACTCCATCAAAAAGCCACATTTTTTTTTTCTCTTCCTACCCCAGTAACAATGTACAGAAAAATCTAGAAAAAAGAGGTATATGGGAAAGCCCTAAACAAAAGGCCTGGAAGGGCCTCATGAGATAGAAAATGGCCTTGCAGATTTTATTTTGCTTTGGTGTTCTTGCTAAATGTTTGAAAAGTTCTCATTTTACATAACAGTTATATGTATTTAAGCAAGTAGATAGTCTGGTTCTGAGAAATCTCTCTGGGCCAATAGATATGATTCTAGGGCAAATTGGGGAAACTCCAGCATTTTTCTAGTTCCTGGTTTTTTGTGTTTTTTTTTTTTTTTCCCTGAAGACTTTGTGTTCTGGTGCGATTAAAATGCCATTGTTGACTGAGGGTGTAGCTGACATGTGCTTAGCATGTGCGAGCCCTCAGGTTCAATCACTGGTACAAAAACCAAAACAAAACAAAAAAGTCATCAGCAATAACTTTGAATCTTTGAATACTTTTCTACAAGTAGGCCATCGGGAGGGGATTCTTTATAAATTTAGAGTTTTATGTTGAGAAACAAAATGCATAGAGAGCCATTTAGCATTTTATTTGCAATGTTTGAGAAAATCAAATGCATCAAACTCCAAAAGACTTTTAGGTCTGGATACAGATCTAACACCAGAATTTGCAGATCTGGATGTTTCTTCTGTGCAGATGAGAAAATTGAACAGTTACCCTTTTCTGTTGGCATCCAGTGAAGGATTCCAGCAGGAGGGGTTTGGTTAGGGAAGCTATATGCAAGGAGGTTCTGACTGTATCTAAATGACTGGCTCAAGGTCAGACAAAGTCAGAACCAAGCTAGGATTAGAATCCAGTGAAGGATTCCAGCAGGAGCGGTTTGGTTAGGGAAGGTATATGCAAGGAGGTTCTGGCTGTAGCTAAATGACTTGCTCAAGGTCAACCAAAGGCAGAACCATGCTAGGATTAGATTCAGCAGGAACCATTTGACAATCTCAATTTTGTAGCTGTTTATGTAGTTGAAATGTGGTCAGAATACAGGGTTTTGTTGTATTTTCACATTTCAGGAGAGACCTCCAGAAGCATGTATTGACCTTGCTCTCTGTTTCTATAATTTAGTAGGTTGGAAAGCCCCTAGAAATCATCAAAGCCTGTGCTAACAGCCCCTCTGTAGAGAAAGGACAGCTCTTTGAGCTAGAAAGTCTTTGAACTTGAAGATCAAGATCCTCCTTGCTAAGAAAAAATTACTGGGTTTAGGTATGTAGATTTCTCTGTGTGTTTTAGGTGTACATGAAGAATATAACCATTACCCACCATTTGGGATACAGACCATTGAGTGATCTCCTGTGAACTTGAATTTGGTTTATTTTATATTGTAAATTGTTTAGGCAGCTTCCTTTCTGCCATTTTTGCTATGAGGTCTTGCATTTCTAACTTGCTTCTAAATTGCTGAATGCCACACTTTCCTGACTGTTGTCATTTTCTCTGAAATGCTCAGGAAATGTCTGTAGATTTGGCAAGCTCTTCTTTCCCCACTTCTCCATATTCCTACTCCAAAAGTGTACATTCAGCATATGAGAGCCCTAATCACCTTCCCTCTCAGCGCCCTTACATATATTTGTAGACACTTTACAAAGTTAAAATGGTTCCATTTTCAATCAACTGGTTTAGAAGGTCCATGTATATCCTTAGCCTTGGTCAGTTATCTCTAAAAATCCCAATTCTTTCTAATAAACTTTCTCAATTTAAACATTGGAAAAATAATGGCTTTCTTATAAGTGCATGCCAAGTCTATGAATCAAATTTTCTTTATCTGAATTGATTTCTCAAATATAGCAGTATGAAGCCAAGCATAGTGTACATACCTGTAATCATAGCTACTTGGGAGGCTAAGGCAGGAGGATGGCAAGTTCAAAGCCAACCTTGGTAACTTGGCAAGACCTTTCTAAAAATAAGTTAAAGAAAGGTATTGTGTCCATCTACAACAAAAAATATTTTTTTAAAAAGTGGGATGTAGCTCAGTGGTAGAGCACACCTATGTTCAATCCCCAATACTACCCCCAAAGGAAAAAATACACACATACATGCACACACAGACACACACACATATGCATACACAGATAGGGTAGAAGACCCAGCACCAGAAAAAAACAGGCTGGAAACTAGAGTCAGAACATTATTTGAAATAATCAGAATAAAATTATTTCACTTTTTAATATTTTCCACATATTATTCTGAATACTTATCATTGTTCTAGGCCCCAGAGACACAGCAGTAAACAAAACAGACAAAATTTTTACCCTCAGAGAAAGCTTAAGTTCTACTGGGAGGAGACAGATAATCAACAAAATTAACAATTTACATAGAATATTAGTGATTTTTGCTTTGAAGTAAAATAAAACCCAGATGGAGTACTGGGAGTGTTTTTTACAAGTTTAAAATCAGGTGGCCTTTGCACAAAGACTTGAAGGAGTGTTATGTGACACTGGAGTCCCAGGCACAGGAAACAAACAGCAAGTGCAAAGGCTCCCAAGGGGATATCCCTGGAGTGACAGGAGGGGCCAGGAGAAAAGCCTGGCTGGGGCAGTGCCCTGAGAAGTCAGAGAGGTAGGGTGAGGGGCTGAGCCTGTGGAGCCTGTAGGACATTGTAGGTCCTTTGGCTTTTACTGTAGTGAGATGGAGAGTCAGGGGAGGGTTTCAAATAAGGGAGTGACAAGACCTGATTTAACAGGATCACTGGTTATTGTATTGAAAAAGGGGACAGGTGTAAAAGAGGAGAAACTGGTTAGGAGGCCATTGCATTTATCACAAAAATTAACTGTACCAGAAGTTAATCAGAAACATTTGATGTGTTTACAAAAAGAGAGGACAATGTGCTTATTATGGAATTAAAAAAAAAAAAAAAGGTGGGAAGCCATTATTTTTCCAATGTTTAAACTGGGTGGGGGGGGGCGGTGAGAAACCAGTTAAGTGCTACTCTGCCACCACCAAGTGCAATGACCTGGGAGTCCTGAGGAAGTCTCCAGATTATTTTTCCTGAGTAACCTATGAACTAAGCAGGGTTTGGTCCGTGTAATTAAGAGTAAGTTCTTGGGGGCTGGGGTTGTAACTCAGTGGTACAGCGATGATCCTCAGCACCACTTATAAAAAAAAAAAAAAGAAAAAAAAATCCATCGACAACTGAAAAAAAAAAAAACAAGAATAAGTTCTTGGGCCTGAGGATGTAGCTCAGTGTTAGAGTGTTTGCTTAGAAACCACAAGGATCCTGGGTTCAAAACCCAGTATCGGGGGTGGGGGGTGGGGGGTGGGGGGGTATGGAAACAAAAAGAATGAACTTAAAACTCTGCTTTTATGTTCGCTCCCTTCTATTCTCCAAACTTATGGGGGTGCCTTTTAGAAGTACAGATTCTAGGCCCTTCACATTTTGTATGTTATGGGATGGAGTCCAGGGATTCTATACAGTAATTTTCCAGGCTACATGGGGACTCCTTTGACTAGAAAGTTTGACTGCCCCTGTAATTTCCCCACCCTTAACTCTTGAACACCTTTTGGCTTTGAATGCGGCGGGCCTGGGAAGTGTTGCAAGGCACCCTGAGACCGGCAGGTGGCGCCAGGTGCCCGTAAGCCGAGGGCGTCCGGCCAGCAGCGAAAACTAGAGGCACCGAGATAGCGGGTCCGCATCAGTGCTGGGACCACTCTGCCGCCGCTTATTCCCACTGAGTGGCGTGAATGAGTAGTGAGGCAGGGGTATGGCCAGTGCCTTGACTTCTTTTTAGGCTATGTGCAGCCTAAGTCGTCTCTGTTCGGCTTCTCGTGTTCCCAGGGCGGGAGACCTTTCTGCACCGGTTTTGAGCACTGGTGGGGGCCCGAAAGGCGGTACAGCGAAAATCGGCGGCCTGGCTCCACAGGACAGTATTCCAACCGCGCCAAGATCGGAGCTGGGATCTACTACCGAGCCCCCTCAGGGATTGCCGCACCCTCGGACTGCTCCTTTCCATTGGCAGCCGGACTGAAGGCCCCGTCCCCTTCCCTACAGCTTTCATCTTTGACTGGTTCTTGGGTACCGGCTGGCCACGCCTCCTCCCCTCGCACATACACAAGAGTCACGCGCCTTTCAGTTGGAAACTTGGCGTGCTGAGGAGGACAGTGGCTCTCATCACCCCGCCCATTTACCTTGCCATTGGTCCGCGGCACCGTGCACGACCACGCCCCCATTCCAGCCCCCTGGCTGGGAAGGCGGGCACCCGCTTATGATTGGCTGGTTGGCCTGCCTCTCGCGGGAGCGACTGGCGCTCCCCTTTCTCCCCCCCCCCCCTCCTCCCGCGAGCCTCGGGGTTCCTTAGCTGGTCGAGGCTGAGTCAGTGTCAGTCAGGGAGGGAGACTGCTGAGCACTGGGTGCGGACGCTCCATTGCAGTCTTGCCCAGGGGTCGGTGCTTGCGCTCGCGCCGCCGGGTGGGAAGAATGAAGCCGCAGCTAAAGCAGCCACCCTATGATTGGCTGTGGCGCTTGTGAACCCGAAGTAAAGATGGCGGGCGGGCAGGCAGTCGCCGCACTGCCCACTTGGAAGATGGCGGCGCGCCGCAGCCTCAGCGCCCGCGGCCGGGGGGTCCTGCAGGCGGCGGCGGGCCGGCTGTTGTCGCTGCTATTGCTGAGCTGCTGCTGCGGCGCGGGCGGCTGCGCAGCGGCCGGCGAGAACGAGGAGACTGTGATCATCGGGCTGCGGCTGGAGGACACGAACGACGTGTCGTTCATGGAAGGGGGGGCGCTGCGGGTGAGCGAGCGGACCCGGGTCAAGCTGCGGGTGTACGGGCAGAACATCAACAACGAGACGTGGTCCCGCATCGCCTTCACCGAGCACGAGCGGCGCCGCCACAGCCCTGGCGAGCGCGGGCTGGGGGGCCCCGTGCCGCCAGAGCCGGACAGCGGCCCCCAGCGCTGCGGCATCCGCACCTCAGATATCATCATCTTGCCCCACATCATTCTGAACCGCCGTACATCGGGCATCATCGAGATCGAGATCAAACCGCTGCGCAAGATGGAGAAGAGCAAGTCCTATTACCTGTGCACATCGCTTTCCACGCCAGCCCTGGGTGCCGGCGGCCCGGGGTCCACGGGTGGCACCGTCGGGGGAAAGGGTGGCGCTGGGGTTGCTGGGCTCCCCCCACCTCCGTGGGCCGAGACCACCTGGATTTACCACGACGGCGAGGACACCAAGATGATCGTGGGCGAGGAGAAGAAGTTCCTGCTGCCCTTTTGGCTGCAGGTGATCTTCATTTCGCTGCTGCTGTGCCTGTCGGGCATGTTCAGTGGCCTCAATCTGGGTCTCATGGCCCTGGACCCGATGGAGCTGCGCATCGTGCAGAACTGCGGCACCGAGAAGGAGAAGAATTACGCCAAACGCATCGAGCCTGTGCGCAGGCAGGGCAACTACCTGCTGTGCTCGCTGCTGCTGGGCAACGTGCTGGTCAACACCACGCTCACCATCCTACTCGACGACATCGCCGGCTCAGGCCTCGTGGCTGTGGTGGTCTCCACCATCGGCATCGTCATCTTCGGGGAGATCGTGCCCCAAGCCATCTGTTCCCGGCATGGCCTGGCAGTAGGAGCCAACACCATCTTCCTCACTAAGTTTTTCATGATGATGACCTTCCCCGCCTCTTACCCGGTCAGCAAGTTGCTGGACTGCGTCCTCGGCCAGGAGATAGGTACCGTCTATAACCGGGAAAAACTGCTGGAAATGCTCCGGGTCACTGACCCCTACAACGACCTGGTCAAGGAGGAGCTGAACATTATCCAAGGAGCACTGGAGCTCCGCACCAAGACAGTAGAGGACGTGATGACTCCCCTTCGGGACTGCTTCATGATCACCGGAGAGGCCATCCTGGACTTCAACACCATGTCGGAAATCATGGAGAGCGGCTACACTCGAATTCCAGTATTTGAAGGAGAGCGCTCCAATATCGTGGACCTGCTCTTTGTCAAAGATTTGGCCTTCGTGGATCCAGATGACTGTACTCCATTGAAAACCATCACCAAATTTTATAACCATCCCTTGCACTTTGTTTTCAATGACACCAAGTTGGACGCTATGCTGGAAGAATTTAAGAAAGGTGGGAAATTTTGGTATCTTTCATTGGCTTGCTCTTTCTTTCTCCATCCTCCTCCCTACTTCAGTCCTATAGCCTCAGACCAACCCCCCAAGGCGAGTTGACCGGAATTTCTCCTGCTCTCTCCTAATTGCAAAGTTGAAAGGGTGGCATGGATTTGGGGACGGATTGAACTAGTAAGCGCTTGTAGGTTCTTTAAAAAGCACAAGACTGCATTACTTACTGTTTCTCCCATTATCAAAATGTAGGTTTCTAATTTCTGTGCATGATACCCCTTCTCCTGCCGCCCCCCTCGCTCCCCGCCCCCCCCACTCCGGTCCCTGCCGTCCCAGTCTCTTGTCTTTAAGGGGCTGCTGCATTCTTTGCCTGGATTCTGAGTGGGTAGGTGAAAGTAGGGGGTGATGCCATGCCCTTTGGTTGACACTACAGATGGCAAGCATTTGGAACACTTTTCTAAACCCAGTGCTATCCTTTTTCTCCTTAAACATCCACATTGATGTTTCAAAGATTGGAAGTGAACATTTTATAGTTTCTGGTCCTGGTCTTTGGCTACCTGTGGGGGAAAATTGAAGTCTGCTTGGAAGGTGGAGGATGGGGTAAACCAACTAGCATCAAAAAATACACTCACTTTGGGTGTGACTTGCCTTAGCTTTAGAAAAGATGGTTTTGAAAAAAGCCAAAGTTATTAATATATAATTTGGAAAGACTGGAGGTAAGTTAACCTTTTATGAGGTGTATCGCTTTAGCTGTTTTCATTTACCTGACAACAAATGAAATTTCCTAAAGCAGGTGTGGTTTTGGCAGAAAGCTTGAACCTTTGACAGTGGATGAATTCCTTTATTAATTATGGTTGATTTCTTGCCTCTGTCCAGTTTAAAAAGTGTTTTTGTTTTTTTTTTTTTAACTTCAACCACTAATACATTAAACTGAAGTATATGACCAACTCTCCCTGTTTCAGGGTGTTTAACAGGGAAGAGAAAGGTGTAGTCTCATTGTGTATATATAGTACATCATTTCTTGAATTGCAATATTGTTTTATCATGTTGTGAATAGGCAAATAGCAACTCATACTATCATTATTGAAATTCCAGTAAATAATGTTACTTGAAAATCAAGGGATGCTGAGTTTTGTAATTGCTGTAATGCTAGTTCATGTGAATGTTTTGAAGTACCTGTAACCTTTCATGACCTGATAGGTCCTCAAATCTAAGCTTTCCTTTTTCAAATAGAATTTTGATTACTAATAATGGTCTCTCCCCTGAAAAAGGCCTTGTGTACCTGGTGACAGCTCACTAGATGTGTATCTGCAGCACATTCTCTGAATGTTATTTGTAGAGAGTGTGTGAACATACAGAGTTTCTTTTCTTGGAGGAATGGTGTCTTCTCTAAAACAGGACCACAGTGTGGTAATTTTCATATTAAAAAAAAATAGAGCAGAATGTGCTTCAGAGCTTGGTAATTTGCATTTAAAAGCAGACTGAGATTCTTCTGGATGCTTAAGTAGTAAAAAGAAAATGTCCAATATCTCTAGTGACAGAGCTTCTTTTAAGAGTGTCATTGTTCTTTCTCTGCTAAGTTGTTAATTAGAGCATCTAACCAGTGTCTTCCTTTATTCTGCAGTATAATCTGTAACAAGAAAGATGTCTTGAAATACTGAAAATGCCTCTGAAATTCAATGATTAAATTTCCCAATATTGACACTGATAACTTTTTTTATTCAGAAATTTTGCACATCAAATTATGGATTGATAATACTAGTTTGTACTCCTGCTGGAGATTTTTCTTAACTTCTTGGAGAATTTAGTTGTTGACCTCAAAGCTTATGAATCTTACTCAAAATTTTAAAATTCGCATGATTTTGAAATTTATTTTTGGTTGTCTTTGAACATATTTCCTGACCAATTTATTTTTATGAAGGATTTTTTTCCTCCAAAATCACTTCCCATAGTATGTTTTGAAACATCTTTTTATATGATTGGGTTACTAATATTTTTCCATGAATTCTAGAAAAATGATAATGCATAGGATTTTATTTTTGGTCATATTCAAAATGATGTACAGTGTGTGGCTAAGAAGATAATGCAAGTTAAAGCTACATTCAAGCCAGCAGTATATTTGGAAGAGCAGACAAAGACAATTCATTACAAATTTAAGCCATGATCTTAAAAGGATGGAATGAGTGTTATCTAAACTATAGGAATAATTTATTTCTTACTTTCTCTTTCTTGGATTTTTTTTTTTTTTTGATGAATTTGATCACTTTAACCTTACTATCAGTTACATGAGTTCTTTTTAATGTGAGTTAAAACATTTCATCTGACTTTGTTCTTCATTGTCCAATCTCAAGCATGACGTAATTTTAACTGTCAACCTTCTATGTATGTGTTAACAGTGTGTGTGAAGGTTTTTAAAGACTTTCCCTTCTTCCCTTTTCTCCTAACATCTCTAAAAAACACAACAAAATAAACACCTCGAGAATACCAAAGCATGACCCTGAATTGGGTAGATCACCAATCCAGATCTCATTGAAAACTGCCATCCTAATTAAGAAGCCTTTTTTTTACAAAGTTGTTTAGAATTAAGTTTGAGTTATTCTTTGCTAAGGAGGGGAAAATAGAAGGTTCTGTAAAATGAAAAGAAAAACTACCTTTACGTAAGTATATGTGAGTCTTTCTAATAACTAAAACTTTTTTTTTTTTTTTTAAACCTGGCTTCTAGGAAACTCTTAGCTTTACTTGATAGTAAGATAGTAATTATGCTAATTTTATCGTTTGATCTTGAAGATGATGATGATTATGTACCTGGCCAAATGATACATTATCCCCATTTTACAAATGAGGAAATTGAGATTTAGATTGAATGATTTGTTAAAGGTCATATAGTAATTTGTTGATTGGGGGTTTTAACTTATGTCTATGTGACACCAGAACTTGATCTCTTTGCCCTGCTGGGGTTTGAACTCAGGACCTCACACATGTTAGGCAAGCACTGACACCAAACCGTATGTCCGGTTTTCTTAAACATTCTATTATACTAGTCTTCTTGATTCTGATTTTACATTTTTATTTTACTGAGTGCGAGGTTTGGTCTTTTGCCAACATTTCCATAGAACCCCGTTGGGCAATAGACACATAAATGTATTTGAACACACATATGACTTTTAAATCCAATGCTCCTGTGATGTTGCACATAACAGTTGTTGTCCCCATTTTTGTCCTTGAAGCAAATCAGTTTTTTGGCCTGTGTGACCTTAAATCCAAAGAATTCTACTCATAACATTTGCAAATCAAGCATCAAGATTCATTTTGAAAAATTTACAGTAACATTGTACTGCACCAGTGTGATACTTTAGTAGGCGTCTCTACAACTGTTTTTCCAATAGCTAAATTATGTAACAATGTTTCTCTTGGTTTCTTATCTGTTTCTGTTGCAAGGGTCACAGTAATTTGTCAAACTCAGTTTTCTGGTTTAATCTTGATTTTATTGACATTTTTTGTAGCTACAGTGTAATAATTGGTTGCTAATGAGCATCCTTCATTACTCCGCCTCACTAAGCTCCTTGCAATCAATCTTTCTCTTTTTCTTTTGTTAGTTTTGTAGTTACTTACAAATCTAAATAAGAAAATAAACTCAGTAAATCCCACTGGAGGATTATGAGATTTTACAAAAACTGTGTAAAGCAAAATAGTTCAGGGGAAAGAAAAACTCAATTAAAAACTGCTTTTTTTTTTTTTTTTTGCGTGTAGAAAGTGCTCTGGAGGCTGTTTACCTGATACGATTTTTTCTAACAAAGGACTGTAGACTCTTGAACCACTCAGTTGTCTACACTGAGGTGACTTTGAAGAATTAGTAACCAGTTATTGTTTCAATGTTTTTCTTTTAACTTTGTAACAATTGCATTCCAGTATTGCAGGGCATGCTGTTTACAGCTGCTAGGGACTTAGCCAGGCTCTTTCTGGCTATTTCTTAGCTAGGAACAGGTGGGATCACCAGATAATGTTCTTCAAAGCAAGAATGCAATGTACAGTTTCTACTTACAACATCAGTCATACAATTCTCTCTGTAACTCCCAAAATGTCTCTATATGCTGAGAGTGTAATATGAAAAAAAATTTCCCCTTACCAAATTAACTGTCCCATTTACCTAGAATCTAGGAGGATATTTTTATGTTTAAAGGTATGAGTGGTGTCATGGGAAGTGGATCTGCTTATTTTTATGATTTTTTGTTTGTTTTTTGGCATGCAGTTACATACATTAAATTCGTATAATTTATTTTTGGTTTTAGAAGATTGTTTTGAAATATCCAAATAGTAAAGAATCAGAGCTGGAAGACAGGCTGTTTGAGGATCTTCCAGTTCAGTGTTTGCCAATGTTTTTTTTTTTAACCAGATGATAAGATTTTCTTGGGTTACTTATTAAGAGTAAGGTCCTCAGCTTCACTCAGAGACTCCTGAACTGGAAGAGGACGTGGAATTGGTTAAGTTACTCTGAGGTTGTTCTTATGGCTAGGTGAGAGTGGGAACTGCGGGTCCTTTCAACCTCTTGAACAAGAAACGTAAACCCTGAGAGGGACAGAAGGTAAGGAGAGACTTGCTTGGGGCCACCTACCTACCTAGTAGCATCAGCTGGACAGAATCCATGTTCTTGATTTCTAGATTGGAGTTCTTTCCACCCCAGTAGGTCAGCTTTCTGGTTCCAAGTTATTCATAGTTAAAGGTTAGCTGCATCATTGAAAAACAAGAACAAATTATCAGGTTTATCATTGGTTCTTTTGTGATTTTGATGTCAGTATTTTATGTATCTTGGATTCAAGCATTCTTTGATAGGCATTTTGTTACATAGAAAATATGTCTGATTGTGTGAGCTCATTTTATTTTAGCTTAGTAATCAAGTTTTTAGTTTTGCTCTAGTCAGAGTAGGAATATATTTTAGGAAGTGGGTGTTGCTATCTAGATAGTTCAAAGTCTCAGGTGGTTAGATAGAAGGGATTTCTTTTGGTTGAGCTTATTTTTCAAGACATTCTTTTTGATTTACTGATGTATTTTCTCCTTAGTTGTTTCCTCTTTAAGATTACCGAAGACTGGATTTGGGACTATGGATGAAGCTTCCTTGACTCTTTTCATTTCTGTTCACAGGTCAGGTCTGTAAAATTTCCGTTGAGATGCTCATCAGGGCTGGAGTGTAGCTCAGTAGTAGAGAGGGCTTGCCTGGCCTGACCCCTGCTTTCCAGTGCATTTGAAGCCTGTGAGCCATTAAAGCGTCTGTTCTCCCCAGCTTTTTATACTATGAGCTAAATTCTGAAAGGGACTCATGCTTGATTTTTAGAGGTTAATGTATAAATAAATAGAGTTTCTGAAATCTGAACACAGACCAGGTCAGGAGAAATCAGAGTCGAACAGCCGCTCGCCTTCATACAATGTGGACAAAGCAAGAAAAGGACCTCGGTCCGCTTTTGCTCTCAGGTTTTATGGGGATTACATACCACCTGCCCCTCTTCCCACAGGGCCTTAGAATTATTTAAATTCTGAAACATTCCACACTCTTGTATGGTGCCAGTTAATTTTAAAGTTTAGCAAATCTAAACACAATAAAAAATATCATTAACCAGGAAAACCCACATAATACACTGAGCCACCATATTTTATGATTTTATTTGCTCTTGAAATACTTAAACTTTTAAGAACAAACCTCTGGATTCTGATTAGGTGTTTATTAGAGTTGTACGTAAAGTTGTATCAAAGGGGCCTTTTCCTCCAAATGTGTGTGTGTGTGTGTGTGTGTGTGTGTGTATCATTGGTAGTAACTTCAATTCCAGTAAAACAGGCTTGTTATATAAAGAATATTTATTAAACTTAAATACATGAAAATGGATTGCTAGGATTGAATACAATTTATTTTAGTATTGCCATTTCCTCTTCTTTTTCTTAGAACACACAAACAAGAAACCCCCAGTCCTACCAGCACTGAAAAGGAGAGGCAGCAGGAAGTTCTTTGCTTTGGTGTCACACACATTGGCAATTCTAGAATATCTGTGTGGAGGTAAATAGTGGTGGCTGGCTTTGGAAGGGGGAGTTAGGGGACTAACAGCAAGTAGCATTTGTAGCCCATGTATTCATTAGGCTAGAAGAGGTGTTGATGGCCAGTGGGGTGCTAAATCCTTCCCTTATTTTACTTTAGTGCTGCCATTGATCATCAATGTGGCTGTAATGACGGTGACATTGCCTTGTCTTCATACTAGCCCTCCTTGCTATCAGACCTAGGTGGGGATGTCTCCTTCCCTCTCTCTCTCTTTCTCTTCCTCCTCCTCCTCTTCTTTTTTTTTTCTTTTTTTGTGGTGCTGGGGATTTAACCCAGGGGCGCTCTACCACTGCATTATATCCCTAGCCTTTTTACCAATTTTTATTTTGAGACAGGGTTTTGGGAATGTTTCTTTTTGAGTTTACAGCTGTGGGGAGTGTACTGCCAGCTTACATGCTCTTCCTAGATCTGCTTTGGGTTTCTTTCATAGTAAAATGAGGATATTTTCTAACTGTTAACAGTAGGTAGTAAGAATGAATGTGGAAATGAATGTTTCTAATAGTACCTCCTATGTAGAGCCTCATTGGCCATTATTTTTATTTTCGTAACAATTCTTTCTGTAGATCTGTGGTTATTGTCTTAATCTGTTTATGTTGCTATAATAAAATACCATAAAGTGGGTAATTTATAAATAATAGAAGTTTTTTCTTATAGTTCTGGAGGCTGGGCAGTCCAAGATAAAGGTATCAGCGTTTAGTGTCTGACAATGGTTTTTTTCCTCGTTTTCACTTGGCGAAAGAGTAGGGCCAAAAAAGGGCCTTAGACTGCTTCCCTCAGCCCTGTTGTAAGGCACGAATCTGTTGATGGGGGTACCCTCATAACTCAGACTCTTCCTCCGAAGGCCTCAAACTTAATACCCAGTAGTGGGGATCACATTTCAAAATGAATTTTCGAAGGACATGTTCACACCATAGCAGTTGTTACTAGTCTTTCTCTAGACCAGAGATTGAGAGTCAAGGGAGACACCTTGGGCACATATGTTCACCACTGTTATTGATGTTGAAATCTTTTTTTTTGAAAATTTTTTTAATATTTATTTTTTAGTTTTCGGTGGACACAAATCCTTGTATGTGGTGCTGAGGATTGAACCCGGGCCGCACGCATGCCAGGCAAGCGCGCTACCACTTGAGCCACATCCCCAGCCCCTGATGTTGAAATCTTAAAAGTGCCCCCAGTGCTGGGGCCCTAATCCAGGTCCTTGCTCCTTCTCAGCAAGTGCTCTAGCACTGAGCCACACCCACAGCCCCCAAAGTGGCACATTGTTATAATATTTTTTTTCTTTTTCTTTTTTTATTGTGATTGAATTCTACCTCTTATTTTTTGAGCAGTTGTTACTTGACAAGAAGGCTCCGTGCATATATACATTTAAGGAAAACAGGACAATATATATTCTGCTTTTCTTAGAGTAATTTTAATGAGTTTAAAATAATTCTTCATTCTTTTTAGCTAGGTGACTAAAAAAGAGAACAAAGGTTAAAGGGCATAGGGAAGTACTCATGGATTTTTTTTTTTTAAGAGAGAGGTGTGTGTGTGTGTGTGTGTGAGAGAGAGAGAGAGAGAGAGAGAATTTTTGATATTTATTTTTCAGTTTTTGGCGGACACAACGTCTTTGTTTGTATGTGGTGCTGAGAATCGAACCCGGGCCGCACGCATGCCAGGCAAGCGCGCTACCACTTGAGCCACATCCCCAGCCCTGTACTCATGGATTTTGAAAGCCCTTGAATAACCAAAGTTTTAAGACTAAAAGAAGAGAAGTGCAAAAATTGGTAATCTCTAATATTGCAAGTTTGTGTTGCTTATAACACTAGTGTAAATCTGTAATACTTTTGGAAACTAACTAGATGTCATAAAATATAATTTTTTCCCCTGGAAATCTTAATTTAGTGATTTAAGAGAAAAGAAGAGCTATGTTGGCTTTTTACATTCCTTGCTCAAGACAGGCCATGGAGGCAAAATAGTTAAGAAAAGTATAGAGATCAACTAATTGCAACCATTTAATGATATTTTTGAAGAACATGTAGCAATATGGGAAAACTTGCACTGGTTATTTGCAAGGATTGTAGACACGTAAAAATATACATGTGCACAGACTGGAAGGAAATGTGGAAAAAGTGAGCATAGTTGATGGGTGAGGATGGGATGATCATGGCCAGTCTTTGCAAAAATTTGCTTATTTACAATATACAAGGATATACCTAGCAAAAATGCAAGTCTGCTAAGATGTGTCCTGACTTTGGAAAAACCAACCTTTGCTTGTGTTAAGGAACATATATTATTCCATTTCTCTTTAGGAAATTTTTTTGCTGAAATAAATGATTCTTTCTAAAATTTAGAAAATTGAGTTATAATACACATATCATAAAATTTATCCTTTAAATTATATATTTCATGGCTTTCAGTATATTTACAAGGTTGTGCCACTATCACCATTGTCTACTTCCAGAATATTTCTCATCATCCTCAAAGAGACCCTGTACCTGGAAGCGGTCACTCCCCATTCCCCACTCCCTGAAGTCCTTGGCAACCACTAATCTCCTTTCTGTCTGTGTGGATCAGCCTATTCTGGACATTTCATATGAACGAAATGCGTCTTTTGAGGCTTTTTTCACTTATCAGGATGTTTTCAAGGTTCACCCATATTGTAGCATGAATCAATATCTCATTCCTTTATATTGCCAAATATTTCATTTTTTAGATATACCATATTTTGTTTGTTCATTAATTAGTTGATCGACATTTGGGCTATTTCCACTTTTGTGTATGGATAATGCTACTAGGAATATTGGTGTACAAGTTTTGGTGTGGACATACATTTTTAATTCTCTTGAGTATGTATGCAGGAGTAGAATTGCTGGATCTTTCCAAAGTGACTGCACCATTTTACATTCCCACCAACAGTGTATGAGGTTTCCAGTTTCTCTGTATCCTCACCAACACTTGCTGTTAATTATCTGTCTTGATTCCACCCATGCTGGTGGGTGTGAAATGGTATTTCCTTATGGTTTTGATTTGCATTTCCCTAATGGTAAATGATGTTAGCATCTCTTCCTATGGTTACTGGCTATTTCTGTATTTTCTTTGGAGAAATGTTTGTGTAGTTTTTTTGCCCATTTTTAAATTGGATTGTCTTTTACTGATGAATTGTAAGAGTTCTTTTAATATTCTGGATACTAGTCAGTTATCAGATATATGGTTTGCAAATATTTTTCCCATTCTGTGAGTTGTCTTTTTACTTTCTTAGTAGTGGACTTTGGGGCAGAATTTTTTTTTTTTTTTTAATTTTGATGGAAGTCCAATTTGTCTATTTTTCTTTTGTTGTTTAGGCTTTCAGTGTCACTTCTAAAACACAATCACCTAATCCAAAATCACAAAGATTTATGCCTATGAGTTTCTTCAAGAGTTTTAACTCGGGCTAAGGATGTGGCTCAAGCGGTAGCGCGCTCGTCTGGCATGTGTGCAGCCCGGGTTCGATCCTCAGCACCACATACAAACAAAGATGTTGTGTCCCCCAAATACTAAAAAAAAATAAATATTAAAAATTCTTTCTCTTTCTCACTGTCTCTCACTCCCTCTCTCTCACTGTCTCTCACTCTCTCTTAAAAAAAAAAAAGAGTTTTAACTCTTATATTTAGGTCTTTACTCTATTTTGAGTTGATTTTTTTTTTTTTTTTTTTTTTTTTAGATAGCATGAGACAGCGGTCCAGCTTTGTTATTTTGCATGTGGATATTCCGTTGTCCCAGCACCATTTGTTGAAAAGACTTATTCTCCGCTGCATTGCCTTGACATCCTTGTTAAAAACCAGTTAGTGGCTGGGGTTGTGGCTCAGTGGTGGAGCGCTTGCCTAGCATGTGTGAGGCACTGGGTCTGATTCTCAGCACCACATATAAATAAATAAAATAAGTCCATTGAAAACTTAAAACAAACAAACAAAAAACCAGTTGGCCATATATTTGAGGGTTTATTTCTTAGCTTTTTAAATTCTTACACTGGTATTCTTATGCTATTACTGCATTTTTTTGTTTTTTGTAGTTTTGTAATCAGTTTTGAAATTTGGAAGTGTCAGTCTTCAAACTTTTTTCTTTTTAAGATTGTTTTAGCTGTCAGGATATCTTGAAATTAAATATGAACTTTCATGGATCATCTTGTCCATTTCTTTAAGAAAAAAAAAAAAAGCTGGGCATGGTCATGCAAGTCTGTAGTCCCAGCAGCTTGGGAAGCTGAGGCAGGAGGATCAAAACAGGTTCAAGTCAGCCTCAGCAACTTAGTGAGACTGTAAGCAACCTAGCGAGACCCTATCTCAAAATAAAAAAAAAAAGGGCTGGGGATGTGGCTCAGTAGTTAAGTGCCCTTGGGGGTTCAGTCCCTGGTACCTCCGGCCAAAAAAAAGGAAGCTGGAATTTTGATAGGGATTGCATTGAATCTGTAGATCGATTTGGGGAGTATTACAATAATAGTAATATTAAGCTTTACTCATGAACAAGGAACGTGCTCTCTTTTTTTTCAATCTTCTGTAATTTCCTCAAAGTGTCTATAGTTTTTAGTATATTTGTGATCCTTTTGTTAAATTAATTCCCAAGTGTTATATTTATTTTTGATGTTATTGTAAATGGTATTATTTTATTAATTTCATGTTCAGATTGTTCATTGCTAGTCTATAGAAAGAAGAAATTTTTGTGTTTTGATTTTATAATCTGTAACCTGTTGAAGTTGTTTATTAGATAACAAATTATTCTTAAAATAGAAAAAACTTTTTAAAAACACATGAGCCAGGTGTGGTGGTGCATGCCTGTAATCCCAGCAACTCGGGGAGGCTGAGGCAGGAAGATTAAAACTTCAAAGCCAGTCTCAGCAGATTAGTGAGGCCCTAAGCAACTCAGTGAGACCCTGACTCTAAATAAAATACAAAAAAGGTCTGGGGATGTGGCTCAGTGGTTCAGAGCCCCTGGGTTCAATCCCTGGT